TGGTGACATTCTGGAGGTTGACATCCTCTATAGAAGAGTCCTTTTGGACATCTAAAAATGGTTCTATTGGCTCCTAATACCATGATAACTGAAAACTGAGTTATTAACTTTTAATTACTCAGAAAAATCAGCTTCCTAGTTTGTGCGATCTTAAAAAATTCCCAGTTAGTGTAAAAAATCAGTGCCTGGCCTGATATAGACCCAGAAGAAATATTTGTTGAGTGAGCAAATGAATTCTTATAAAGCCCCATTGTTTGCTCTTATTACCATCATCATCTCATTGTTTAAAACTGAGGAACTTGGCTTTGAAGTTCTAACATCTTGGGCTGAGCTTATTCGTAATCCTTTTGCCAAAGGCCTTAAGTCATTTGGAGATTTTTCCTTAAGTCAGTGCTCCTAAATTGATGTTCAATGTCATATAATTAACTGGGCTTAAAATTTAGTTACATATAAAGTAAGTACATGGGTAATCAAATTTCTTTCTTTTGAGTTATCTGAGCATCTAATATGGTAACATGCATTTCGGTTTTAGAGAATAATGATCTCTGAGGTATTTCCAAACTCATTTAAATACAGAATAAATTGTTTCTTGACACCATCCATCAGGGAAGTATTAGAGTATTTCTCATTTGTGTACATTTTATCATTAATTAAAGATTTAATAGGATAGCATTCTTCTGTTCATCTGTCCAAATCATGTTACTCACTCTTGTTAATCCCATAGACAATTTTCTTGACTCTCTCATGTTTCTGGCTCATGTAATGTCATTGAGAAATGTATTTTTGCATGTTTTACAGGGGCTTTGTTGTTGTGGTGGTGGTGGTGGTTTATTTGTATTTTGCAGCGCTAGAAAATGTTCTTGGGATGCACTTACACGTGCCCTACAGATAGATTATTTTTAAAAATATTGAGAATACATTTTGTTAGGTACAGTGTATCTATTTTCAGTGTTATTAAAGTTAGTTAACCACCCCACACCCCGAGAATCTAGCAAAAATAATAAAATTTTAACAGCATTAAATGTTTTGGAAGGCACAATGGACAGAGTGGACTAAACAACTTTCCTGAAGTGATTACTTCTCTCTCTCTCTGAAAGCCTTGAAAAATACACAGTTATCAAACAGGCATCCTGTGTATTAATGTGTTAATTTTGCTCTATAACAAGTGACCACCTAGGATGTTTCCCTAATTTGTTGCAACTTTTATTCATTCATTTAATATGACAGATTCCTGGATGAGATTAAAGTTGTATCTTTTGCCTTTTACAGCATTCATGACTTTGAAATGATTTTAAAACAAAATGCATGTACTGGCCCAAACATCATGTTTCCTATTGTAGTGTCTTATAAATCATCATCTTTCCAAATAAAGTCTTATAAAGGACTAAGAAAAGCCAAACTAGGAAATGTTAGAAATTCCTATAGTCAAAGGGAAATGGATGTTGAGATGTCAAGCAAGCTATGAGAAAGATTATTGCAAGAAAATTTCTTGCCTAGTATTTTTGATAGTTTTCATTTACCTCTAATTTTGGCTTTCACAAATCCATTGTTAATCAAATTCATTTCTTCCTTTGAGAAGCAGGTAGATAAAGAATCATAGTTGTGAAGCAAGATATAAAAATTGAAGAGTAAGGCCAATTAGGATATTTTTACTCTAATTGCCTTAAGTAACTGATCATGTTTAAACTTCTACATCTACCCCAGTGGACAGTAGATGAGGAGTCTCAAGCAATACTTTGTCAGAGTGGCATAAACAGTCTGATGTTTGTGTATATATGTTCTGTCTAGAGCTAGATTAGTTAACTGGAATACATGTTAGGGCTGTAACGTGTTCATTCACTGTAATTCCATTTAGGAAAAATTCCTAGAAATTATGGTAATAGCTAGCCTACAGAAGTATAATCAAGTAAGCGTTTGGAAGATAAAAAGGAAACTTGGCGGGGGGAGCACCATCCAGGGCCTACTTAAACCAAGCAGTTGTGTATTCTGAGTTAATGTCAGTTACCTGACATAGGAAAACATCTCAAAAGACCAGAGCTAATAAAAAAAGAAAGTAGTTCCCCAGACCACAGTAATTTCTCTTTTTTAAAATTTTTTATTTTTATTGAGCTTTTAAATTTTCATATAACATTTTCCACTCAAATCCAGACCCCCTCCCCCATCCATGCCTCCCTCTATATCCCCATGGAACCCTATGCACTCTACCATGCATGTTGAGTCCTTGTCATTAAGGTTTTTGTACCCAAATGTCCTTCAGTATAAATGCATCCATCCACTGGAGTCTAGTCAGCCCATTCAGTGGTTGTATGTAAGTCATACTCCTTCCCTCACCCAGCAGCAATCACTCTCAAATAGTTCCCTATCTAGTGCTGGCCCACCACCTATTTCTCACCTCCCCTTTGGGCCCTTGTTCGATTGAGCTGACATGGGTCCCAGGTTCTATGTCACCGCTGCTGCAGGCTCACATGAACAAGCCTCCAGTGGCCTGGAAGCATCCACCTCCCTGTGTTCATGAACTAGTCTTGGCTCCTACAATCTTTTCGCCTCCTCTTCAGCAATGGCTCCTGAGCCATGGGTGGGTGAGGTTCCATATAGGAGTCCCATTCTACACTACAGTCTCTTATTCTCCAAAACTTGGCCAGTTGTGGCCTTCTGTGTGTATTGTACTCTGATGTGCATGGAAGCCTCACTCACAGTAATTTCTTAATCATAACATCAGAATAGGGTTCTACATTATATACATTAACATCTATAACCATGGATAGTATTCAAAGCAGCTCAGCATCCAAAAAGATGCACACGTAGCAATAATGAAGCATATTTGTTCTATCTTGTAGACTGGCTTCCTAGACATTGTGCATAGATCTGCTTGTGGCCTTGAGTTCTGGGCACCCAAGTTCTGCTCATCAAGCTCTCTGCCACAGACAGCCTGTTACCAAACGTGCCTATTTTGTTTCTTTTGCAGGAGCTTGTTAATTCAATGGAATCAGCCCTCCTATGTTTTCAAACAAGGCATAAAAATTTAGCAACAAGTATTTTAAATTTGAAGATTGACCTATAAATGTACTGAAAAAGAACAATATGAAATCCTATGATAATATCTCCAGCCTTTGAAGATAATTCTTTAAGGGAAAATGACATACTTTCTTAGAAATGATTTCCACATTTAACACCAGAAATGAACTTAGTTCCCTTTCATTCTCTATTTATATTGATGTGTTTCATACGGTGTTATTTAATTTTCTTTTTTGTAGCCCCAGCTGGTCTGGAACTTACAATGTAGACCAGACTGGCCTCAATCTCCCAAACATCTGCCTGTCTCTGCCTCCGAGAGCTGGGATTAAAGGCATGTGTCACCACACAGCTTGTGATAGTTAATCTTGATTGTTGACTTGATTGAATTGAGTAACAAATGTTCTGTGAACAAAAATAATGTTGCTTCTCCCTTTAGCTTTTGATTGTGTTTTGTTTCTTTTTCTAGTCCATTTGCTCTGACTAGAACTTTTAGTACTGGGTTGAATAGAAATGACAAAGTGGACATCTTATGATGGTAGTCTTAGGGGAAAAGCCTTATATCTTTCTGTTTGAATATGCTTTGTGGAGTTTTCATATGTATAATTTTTTAATGCTGCTATTGTATTTTTCATGTGTGTTTTTGCTTTTTGGAATATGATGAACCAACTTGGTAGTTGTTTTTGTTGCTATGTTGTTTTGTTTAGCTTATTTTGAGATTGAGTCTCACTGTATAGCCCAGGCTTCCCGTGAACTTGCAATCCTATATCAGTCTTCAGAGTCCCGAGATTACAGGTGTACAAAGGAATTTGAATTGAGTAGTTAATATATAATTGCTATTTAATGATTTTGGCATGTGTAGGTTTGTAGGTATCATTTGGAAGTTGGCTGGTCCTCAGTTTCCTTTATGATGATTTATTTCTTCTGGTATGCATTGATGGTTCTTGATATGTCATCCATGGGAGTACTTGCAAGTCTCTGTTTAAATGTGTTCTTAGGGTCAGAGCCAGGTACCTGAGAGTACTGTTAACATAGACCACTTTCCGTTCAGGCTTGGCTTTATGCATCACTTTTTCTGTGTGTAAAGAGAAAATATTCTGTCACCATAAAATGGAGTTTGCAGCTAACAGCTGCTGCTTTTCCTTCTTTTTACTTATCTTTCTCCTCTTCCTCCCCTCTCTTCCTTCCTCCCTTCCTTGCTTTTTTTCTTTTTCTCTTCTTTCCACTCCCCTTTCCTCCCCCCTTCACTTTTCCTTTCCTTCTTTTTCTTAACAACATACCAGTTCTCTCTGTAGCCCAGGCTGGCTTTATCTTCACTCTGTAACCCATGATGTGCTTGGTAGTCCTGCCTCAGCCTCCTGAGTATAATGCATCTTTGTTTGCAGTCATGTCCTACCATGCTTGGCTTACAGCTACCAATTTTTAGGGAAAATTCTTTTCTGTTTTCCGTGCTAAGCCTTGGTAGATACTGGACTTTGGAAGGCTTTTATGTTGGTTCTTTAGACTCATCTCTTTTAAGAGAACATTTTAAACCATTCTTGATAATTCTGCTTACTAAGTGGAACTCATAAATAATACCATTCACATATTTTTCCTCAACAATTCTCAGTGTTACTGTATCATATACTTTATAACGTGTGACTATTGCTGTGCTTTTCTATTGCCACTGTAGATGTGGTTACAGTCCTTTGTTACAGATATGGTGAAGTGATTGTTACTATTTTGCATTCTGACAGAGTAAGTCCTCTTTAAAATACTCTGCAAACCAGGAAGGAGTGTAGATAACACTACACTTCCCTTTTAGCAGTTACAGCTTACAAAGGATGGATTTGTTTTCTTAGTCTAGAAGTAAGTGGGCATCCATTTGATTATTTGAGAGAATAGCCTTTTTATTAAACCGATTCTTATAATAAGAAAGATAAGAAAAAATAAAGTTTTTGCTTTACATAGTAGCCTTTAATAATGCTGTGTTTTACATTTTTCTGCAGGTTTTCTTTAGGTGATGCTAGGAGGCCACTTCATGAAACAGCAGTTTTGGTAGAAGATGTGGTTCACACACAATTAATTAACCTGGTAAGAGCATGTATAATCTTATTTGGTATCTCTTCTCTTCATTCTGTTTTTATTGATTCCAATCTAACATTATTTTTTAAAAAGTTTTATCTATAGCTACATTTTTTGTTTTAAGGAGATATGATATAAAATAGCTATATGTACAAGTGTTAAATGCACAATTTGATAAATTTTGAGAATGAGATTTTTTTAACTATTGTACTTTTGGCAAGCATTGAACTTTTTTTCCTCAGAGGTTTATTAAAATTCTTCAAAGTCCTATTTTGGACTGAAGAAACATTTCACAAATGTCATAAAGAATTCTCCGAAATCCTTCAGCATCCTCTGGTATTAGTATAACCATAGTACAATCATAAAAACCTACAATTAATCCCAGCCCAGTAAGTTTGCCATTCTTACTTGAATTCCATCATCTTTGCACCAATCTCCATTTCTTTTCAGAGACCCCATATAGGGAACCACATGGCTGTCAGATTCAGTTGTCGTGTTTTGGTTGTCTCTGTCTATGCTAGGCCTTTGCTGTTTCCTATTCTGTCATGACCTAGATGTTTTTGGAAAGTAGGATGTCCTCCTGTTTGTTGGTCCACACTTGTCATTAGAATGACATCATAGGTTTTGAACAAGATTATCACAGAAGTGATGAGTTCTTACCACTGCTGAATATCAAGGGGTTTTTGTCTTGTGATTGATATAACCGTGACAGCTCATTTAAGGTACTGTATGCTGACCTTTCTCACTGTAAGGTTATATTTGCTTGTGTGCTCTTGGGGATTGAACCCACCAGAGTTTAGTGCATGTGCTTAGCTACTGTGCTATACTTCTAACCCAAGGTATTATTTTTTAAAGTATTAAGGTTAGCAAATACATTGGGCTAGATATTTTCAGAGCTATTTAAATGTTATCTTTTTCTTAATATTTTTCTCAATTTTATCACTCTTCTGCAAGTTTTGATTAATAAAATTGTTTCTACAGCACTTGCCTCACAGTGATTTTTCATTGCTGTTTGTTATTTTCTATTTATTACTTGGAATTCTTCTTAAATGAAAAAACACCTTTGTCTACATTTATTAATTTTCTCTGTATAGCAGAATACGGGTAGATATTTATTAGTTTTCTGTGTATAGCAGAATAGAAGTGGATATTTAAATTTTTTCTTAAATGTTGTTATCCAGTGTTGTCATTATTCTTATTACTCAAGATATCCCAGTGTTGGCCAATGGGAGCATTTTCCTCTCTCAGTTTTAATCTTATGTCTCATCTACATCAGTAATATCAGCAATTCATCTGTGGCATATAGTGCAAATATATCCTTCCAGTATGTCAATTTCATTAACTTTTTACCTTTGCTGCCAGGAGTTTCTGTTTAGCTTACACATATTTTTACTTTAATATAGTCAAAGGCATTAATTTTTATTACTTTTTTTGAATCATAAAATACCATTGTATATCTTGAGTTTAAATAGAATCCACTTGCATTGCTTTCTAATGTCTTTATTATTTCAGGGTTGTTTTTTTTTGCATTTATATCCTTAATTGGTAATCCATTTTGTGATATATGGAGCCAGTTTTATTTTTTGTGGGATAGTTATCCATTTTTATCATATAAAACTTTACCCTTCATCTAAAAATCACTCATCTTAGAACCCAGTCTTTTCCCTAGTAGTTTCTGCTGCCTTCATTATCACATACAGGTTTGTCTCTGTATCCTATACTAGGGTATCTGTTCATGGCTGTACTACTGTGACATTGGGTTATTTATACAGGTTTCACATATATTCCAGGGATTGTCAGGCCTCACTCTCTTCCTTGTTAGCTATGGTTTCCCTTTCTAAAATTTCTGCTACCTGTAGTTAATTACAGCCTGAAAATTAAATATGGAGAATTCCAGAAATAAAGAATTAGTGATTACATTCCATTCTGAGTAGAGTGATGAACTCTCACACCACTCCACCTAGGAAGTAAATCATGTTCGTCCTGAAGAACCATGTTATATGGAGCACATGATTTTTTTAGCCACTTAGTAGCCTTCACAGCTGTCATATTGACTGTTGTTCTATGGATGCTTGGGTTCACCTGATCTATTTTTTTCTCTTTTTAAATTTTTTTATGAATTTCATACAATATATTTTGATCACTTTTAGATCCCTCCCTTATCCATATCTCCCCTTACTACCCCCTGCCCTATTTCATATTCTCTCTCTCTCTCTCGCTATATATATATATATATATATGTGTGTGTGTGTGTGTGTGTGTGTGTGTATACACATACACACAAACACACATATGTGCCTATAGTGTCAAATTTGTGTCCCAAATATCCTTCCCTGTGGGTCCATCCACCAGAGTCTGGTTAGCTAACCAAGAATCACACCCTTAAAGGATATTGACTCTCCCCTTCCCAGAAGCCATCCTTTCAAATAGCTCCTCAGGTTGAGTTGGAGTTTCTTATCCACTTCCTCATGTCTATGCTGGAATTTTGTTGGATTTAAACTTGCATCGGACTTGTCCATGTCCTCACCATTGCTGTGAGTTCATAGGAGGAACTTCCCAGGCTGTCTGGAAAACTCTGTTTTTTGTGGTCAGCCACCACCTCTGGCTCTTACAGTCTTTCCACCCCATCTTCCACAATAATCTCTGAGCCTTTGGAGGCAGAATTTTGATATATGCGTCCAGTTCTGGGATAAGCACTCTACAGTCTCTTATTCTCTGCACACTGGTCAGTTGTTGCTTTCTGTGTTACTCACCATCTGCTGCATAAGAAGCTTCTCTGGTGAAGCTAAAAGATGCATTAATCTATGCAGATGCATTAATCTATGGGTATAATAAGTTATTAGGAGTTGCTTTACTACTATATCTTCTTGGCAGAATAATAGTATTAGGCTCCTATGGCCTGTGACCTGTCTAGCCACATGTTCCTAGGCCTGATTTGAGTGTCAGGTATGGGTTCCATCTTTTAAAGCAGACCTCAAATTCAATTAGGAAGTGATTGTTCACATCCATAAAACTCATGCCACTATTACATTAGAAGACATGTCTTGCCAGGCCAGTTGTTGAAGCAACTGGGATTCACAGTTGGGTAAGCTTAATGATTAATTTTCTTTTCTAGTAAGATGCATAGCATCTTCCATCATTATAAAAGCTCACCTTTAGAGATGAAGCTTTGAAGCTAATACCAGCTTAATTGTAAGACCCTATTGGTCTTACATACATGAGCCATAGAAAAACAAGGAGAAATCAGGCTGGTACTGACTTCACATGATCTATTGAAGGAGCAATCACACTTTCATAACTTTGTTATAGTATATTCTTAAATTTTTTAAAATTGGTTGTTTAACTCTTACTGTACCTAATGTGTACGTTAAAGTGTACCATAGGTGTGCTTGCATAGGTAAAGTGTAATTAGGACATTCAGGTTTGGTATTATTTGCAGTTCTACTAATTCCCTTGGAGTATTGGAATATATCCCTTCAGATAAAAGGGAGATTGTCTACTTACTTTTTTAAAAATATTTTATTTATTATTTTGATTTCATTTGTATGAGTGTTATGCCTGTATGTAGGTAAATGCACCCCTGTTGTGCAATGCCTCCAGAGGACAGAAGAGGCTGTCAGATCCCCTGGAGCTGGAGTTACAGACAGTCGTTAGCTGCCATGTGGGTGCTGGGATTGGAACCCGGGTCTTCTGCAAGAACAGTCAGTGTTCTTAACCGCTGAGTCATCTTTCCAGCCCCTGAAAGGGAGATTGTCTACTTACTTTTGTACTGTAAATGTTTCTATCAATTTGTCTACTGTATAAAAATTTAATCGGTATGTTTATTGAGTTTAAGTGAATTTTTAACTTAGAATTGCAACTTTAGCTTATTAAATCATTCTATGTAAGAACCAGGAAAGTCTGTACAATTGTTCAAGACTTCTGATGTGTCTTTTAGGAGTATTTCAACATTTTCCTTTTTAAGGCTTCACATATTTTTTGTTATATTCCTTTCTAAGTATTTGTCTTCTTCATTGGTTTTGTAAATACATAGTGAAAACATAATGAAGTTTTGTGTTATAAATTCAAGATGCTGAGTAAATTCCAAATAAGATAAACCAAAGAAATAGCCAATGTCCTCAAAGCTGACAGGCTTTCTCAGTCATTAGAGAAGGAATTCTCAAGGAGGCTAGAAGGAAATGGCTTAACAGTCTTCAAGTACTGAATATAGATTTCTAAGATGACGGTTAATTTTCTACTTTCTCATGGCCTTCTTCAGTTGCCTCTGCTTTTTTCTTTTATAAGGATGCAAGTTATTATCTAAATATTGCTATTTTTATGTCTTCAACTCACAGTAGAGCTGCAGCTTCTCTCCCTCCCCCCACCTCTGTATTTGTCTATGTGTTTGTATCTGTGCAATTAGGAATACATGTGTGTATGTGTAGACCAGAGGTCAACCTTGGGTGCCTTTTTCTATTGCTATCCACCTTAATTTTTTAAGACAAGGTCTCTCACAGGTCTCCTCCTATCTTCACTCACAAGTGCTAGGATTGTAGGTCTGTACCACTGTGCCTGCCTTTTTGCTTTTTACATGGATGCTAGGGATTGGGCTCAGGTCATCAGGCTTACTCACTAAGCACTTCACCAATGTAGCCATCTCCCCAGGTCCCAGAGTTTTTCTTTCTAAAGAATTATATGTCCTTTAAAGGAAGGAAGAGGTAAAGGAGGGTACTTAACCATCTAGTTCCATTCTCACACTCATCCTTCTCACAGATTCCAGCTACCTTTGGGGATTTTCCTTCAGCCTGACTATAAGTCTCGGTAATATTTTTAATAATACTGTTGTTGTAGTGATGAAATTCTAAAGCTCGTTTAATATTGTAAGATATTAGAGTTAGTGATTCTAGTATCTTCTGATATTCGATTTCGATGACAAGTGAACTGTTAATTCATTTCTTTTCCTGAAACACATTGTTGCTCCTTTTCTGAGTATTTTTATTACTGTTGTTTTAACTTGGCTCTGTTAATGG